TTTGCGTTATTTTTAATGATCTAATCATTCTGTATTCCAAGTTGGGGGTAGTTTTTAACGACTCCAAAACATCTAGAACTGGCCCTAACCCCGACAGCCTCAGCCTCCATCCAACGAGTGAGTGCAGACTGAGTCCAACGACTGCATGCAGCTTAGGACCCACGAGTGTGAGCAGCCTAGTTGCCAAGAATGCATGCGCGACGCATGCGGAGAAAGGCGAGGGAGAGAAACAAGAGACAGAATTGGACGCATAGACATATACTGGAGACCAGGTGTGTAGAGACGGCGTTACACTGGAAAGAGCGCATATGCTAAAAATCCATAGAAGATAGTGCAGCGCGTGGGAAAGGTCACGAAACGTGAATGAAAGGCCAACAAATCTCACGCAACGACTTGAAATGTTTGTGGACAAAAAATTTACTTGAATCGCAGCCTCAGATGCTGTCGGGAGGCACTGAATGAAAAAAGACAACGGTAGAAAGAGTATGCCAGAGCGAGAGAGAAAACACATTGACAGAGAAAACATTTTGATAAACTGTTCGTACCTTTCTCAGCGTAGTGCAGCAGATTAAACTCGCAGTAAGTTCTGAACTAAAAAAAAAAAAACTGTTATAATCAACAGGTTCAACCGTCTTCTTAACCTAACGAGTATGCTTTTATTTTCAAAGTTTTTTTTAAATCCATTTCCATACTTCGACACTAAAGGTGAAGGCGCGATGATCGACTTCATTGCATCGGGTTTTATCCCATATGGCTCAGTCTCTCTCTGCAGAACAGCTAGCTGCCTGCCGAGAGCGTCGCACAGTGCACGACCTCTGTAACTCGGGCGACGATCCCCAGGCACTCGTGAGCTGAACGACGCCGCCATGAAACGAGCCTGCGACTTCAGAGGGCAAGGCAAACAAAGTGACCACTTTGCCATGGAGAAACCCCTACTTCGACACTATGTGGAAGGATGCCTTGAGCCGAAACTTCTACAAGAGCAGCTACTCACAACACGCATTTTTTAATAATAGACTATCTGTATCAATGATTTAACATAATTTAAACAGGAAACCTCTTAAGCTATCAACATTTAAGCTGTTTAGCCTGTAAGATAGGAAATATCTCAGAGCAATGTAAAAGAGCCATAGTCCTCGTGGTTTACATAACTTATTTACACACTTTTTGTCATCCGAAAGTCTCAACCAACAACCTACATTAATGAGAGGTACATAAAACAAATACTTGAACAATGCTTTGCAGCTTTGGTGGCCATAGAAAAACAGCATAAGCCTGCTATCTGTCCCAAAAGCGACTGGAGATAGTAGAAGATTTTGCAAAGAATTGGTGTCCTAAATGTGCATCGACATATTGTCGTCTTTCAAGATGATAATGTTATATTGTGATACAGATGATATTGTGATACAGATGATATTGTTATACAGATGAGAGCCCTTAAATACTGAACTGAACCCAAAGCGTTGTATTGTCATGTAGCCACTTCAGTAGACTCCCTAGAGGTTGCCCGCCAGTCCGAATGATTTGCATCCGATTCCGCATCATGGCTTAGGTGACTGTATTTATACTGCGAAATTCCATAGGAAACAAAAGGGGTCATTGTGTGCTCGGCACCACCGAGATCAATAGTATACAGATAAAGCCAGAGTTCGAGCACGTAGAATATGGGCCGCGGAAAAATCGTTGACACTGAAGAGTACTTTATACGAAGCAAACAGAAGATTTCGTCCCAGAGCTCTCTCCCTGCCCTGACGCTGGGAGGCGTTACAGCAGTAGGCAATAAATGACGAGGAAGAAAAGAATAAGTGTGATGTCGACCACATTATCCATCGAGAACATCGAGAATGGTCAACAAACTAATGTCTAGCACCATATGCACAATACTTCAATAGCGTACCAAGTGTTCTTTTGTTTAGTTACTTTCTTGACATAAAAGTGTACTGACTACTAAAAAACTGCAGTTCTGATTTCATCTCTACACAAGTGTAAAGTAAAGAACCCTTCTCCACTCGTTGAGGCGTATTGTGCATAGTGATAGGCCTGTACTGTATAGATGAGTCAGCACTCGTTAGGTGATGTGCTCAACATTCCGCCAGCCGCGTTTACTTCCCAGGATATTACCTGATACTCATTTGAGGTTGTGCCTATCTGGGAGCCAAAGTCATTTCTGAAAAGTCTGGCTCCGTTAGCATTCGAATCCATGACCTTGAGATAGACAAGCAAGCGTCTAGTGACTACACCACGGCGGCCTACTTTAAATAGCTGTAGGAGAGAGAAAAGAAGTTTATTTTAGAACTCAATTGTGGTTACACAGTTCCAGAAAGTATACCTGGGAATTACTGTATGCCCCTGCAAAAGGTATGGAGGTTTTAATTGTTCTGTGGACATAAGCGAGCGCTCTGAAAAATTCTCTTGGTTGTCTCAAAGTGGCCATAACCCTGTTGATGGAAAAAACAAAGCACATTTAGTAGTGTCCCTAGCAGGCAGAAATTAATGTTACGAATGAAAAATTGAAGGATTCCTTTTTTTACACTTTAGTCGTGTGGTGCTGAAAACCATCCATGCCACAACCTTTTGTTTCGTGTACTGTCAATCATTCTTGTTCTTTTTTTCTTCGTTTGTCCTACGGTCCAAGCCGTACAACTTCTCAGGGAAGAGTTCGATGCAGTTTCCTGCTTGTTGCGTAGCTTGAGTCAATGTTATACTGCGCTTCTGCAGTTTCTCCTTTACACCCTCCGCCATCTCGTTCTTTTGTTGTTAGAATCCACCCCAATATGGAAGGCAATTGTTTCTTCTTCAAGGCCCCATCTCTGCTGTCGGGTTTCTGAGACTTGCATCAGTGTTATTTTCATCTGAATGGTAGCACTTTGTGTCACCTGGTATTTGCTGTTCGTCGTGCGGGCCTGGTGTGGTTGAACATGCCTCACACTTGCTTACTCATCGGTCCTGATGTGGTTGAACGTCACTCACACTTACTTACTTGTCTGTCCTGATGTATTTGAATGTCACTCACACTTGCTTACTTGTCGGTCCTGATGTATTTGAATGTCACTCACACTTACTTACTTGTCGGTCCTGATGTATTTGAATGTCACTCACACTTGCTTACTTGTCGGTCCTGATGGGGTTGAACGTCACTCACACTTACTTACTCATCGGTCTTGATGGGGTTGAACGTCACTCACAATTACTTACTTATCGGTACTGGTGTGGTTAAACGTCACTCACACTTACGTACTCATCGGTACTGTTGCGGCTGAACGCCACTTACACCTACTTACTCATCGGTCCTGGTGTAATTGAACGTCACTCGCACTTACTTACTTATCGGTACTGGTGTGGTTAAACGTCACTCACACTTACCTACTTATCGGTACTGGTGTGGTTAAACGTCACTCACACTTACCTACTTATCGGTACTGGTGTGGTTAAACGTCACTCACACTTACCTACTTATCGGTACTGGTGTGGTTAAACGTCACTCACACTTACCTACTTATCGGTACTGGTGTGGTTAAACGTCACTCACACTTACCTACTTATCGGTACTAGTGTGGTTAAACGTCACTCACACTTACGTACTCATCGGTACTGTTGCGGCTGAACGCCACTTACACCTACTTACTCATCGGTCCTGGTGTAGTTGAACGTCACTCACACTTGCTTACTTATTGGTACTGGTGTGGTTGAACGTCACTCACACTTACTTACTCTTCGGTCCTGATGGGGTTGGACGTCACTCACACTTACTTACTCTTCGGTCCTAATGGCGTTGAACGTCACTCACACTTACTTACTCTTCGGTCCTAATGGCGTTGGACGTCACTCACACTTACTTACTCTTCGGTCCTAATGGCGTTGGACGTCACTCACACTTACTTACTCTTCGGTCCTAATGGCGTTGGACGTCACTCACACTTACTTACTCTTCGGTCCTAATGGCGTTGGACGTCACTCACACTTACTTACTCTTCGGTCCTAATGGCGTTGGACGTCACTCATACTTACTTACTCTTCGGTCCTGATGGGGTTGGACGTCACTCATACTTACTTACTCTTCGGTCCTGATGGGGTTGAACGTCACTCACACTTACTTACTCTTCGGTCCTAATGGCGTTGGACGTCACTCATACCTACTTACTTACTCTTCGGTCCTGATGGGGTTGAACGTCACTCACACTTACTTACTCTTCGGTCCTAATGGCGTTGGACGTCACTCATACCTACTTACTTACTCTTCGGTCCTGATGGGGTTGAACGTCACTCACACTTACTTACTCATTGGTCCTGATATGGTGAAACGTCACTCACACTTGATTACTCATCCTTTCTATTAAGTGTTACCGCCCCGATATAGGACTAATATTTGGGGTTGGGGCAGGGGGAAGGGTATTTTAAACCCCCTAGCCGTTCTGTCAACGAGGGGCCTTCGTATAACCTAATGGATGAATAGTTTCTGGGACCTGTGCCCAGGTGATTTTCAGCAGAATGTTGGCACTTTGTGTCACTGGATGTTTATAGTTCGTTGTGAGATCCTGGTGGTGTTGAACGTCACATATTCTCTTTTTTTTAAGAGGGGGGGGGGGGGGGGTCCCCTTCTTGCAGCCTGCTGTTTTCATGCTGTACGCTCTAGTTGCTGTCTGATTTGTTCCATTCTGACCGCAGGAATAAACTATTTTTTGTTGTTGTTGTTGTTGTTGTTGTTGTGTGTGTGTGTGTGTGTGTGTGTGTGTGTGTGTGTGTGTGAGATTAACAAAGAGTTTGGATGTCTACCAGAGCGCAGAGGGAAACAAATATGGTAACTACGTGTTAATCAGGTTGCACCAGCACCATACATAGAACTCCAACTCTTCCTTAGCTACTGATAAAGGGGACGGTGCAGGTGTGGGAATATCCCGGGTGCTATGATGTGTTTTCACTCAATCATTAAAATTAGAAATATGTTATAAAAGTATCCACTTGGACGCTTGCTGTTTTACATAGTTTTATGACACACATACCGTACTGATCCCGCCCATGGGAGTATTGTAGTTGCCAGGTAGGTCCCATTGTTGAAATCGGTAATGTTGGCACTTATGCTGTGCTGAAACTTCATGTCTTTCAGCCAAACTCTGAGCCTGTCTCCCCCTTTTAATCTTTGTCTGCCCTTTCTATCAAACATGTTGATGACCACAGACACGGCGTCCCCGACGGTGGCAGTTTTACTGAATCAGAAACAAGACAACAATCTAGAAATAATTTTTAAGAGCTCTGTATTATACAGTCATACAAAATTCATGCATAAAGCGTTAGAACTTGCTGTTTACACATTATTACAAATTTCAGTGTCTGATAATTCTTAAGATACATTTTTAAAAGATTCACACAAAAATTAAAAAAATTAAAAAAGAAAGTAATGGACCCTTTTCCACGCCTCCAGGAGTATTTGAGCTAGGCCTATATTTTTTAGATCAGTCGGCACTTGGTGGATGATGCCGTCATCACAAGGGCCGCCTTCCCTTCCCATGAATTTACCTGGTATCCATTAGAGGAAGGGTCGACCTGCTAGCCAAAGTCGCTTCTGAAAGACGTCCGGCTCCAACAGGACCTCAATCCAAAACCTTCCGATGCGCAGGCGAGCCTTTAGCCGAGACAAAAACTAGTCTACAAACTATCCCCATGTGCCTGGAGGCAGTAGCATTCCACGGTGGAAAGTGATTCTGTCGACCGACCCCAAATTTGAAACGGAAAACTCTTCTGAGAAGTAAAGGTGGATGACGATTGATCTCTGAAAATATACGTCTACCATCATATGCCGCTGACGTGATAGAAGTAATTTTTTTTTTTTTTTTTTTTTTGATTTAAAAAAACAAACTGATTTTTTTAAAATGTGTAATTCATATATTCAATATACTCATGTTCACTATCAATAAACACTATGGTTACTGTGTAAAGCAAGACGAATCTAAATATCCGGGATGTATATTCGCGGAGGGGGACAGATAGGTCAGAGAATCGAAACAAGTTACCAGAAAGCAGATGCACAGCTGTCATAGCAATTACCACACCCAATCAGTTTTGTCACGCACACACACAGACACACACACGCGCGCGCGCACACACACACACTCACACACACACACACTCACACATACACACTCACACACACACACGCACACACAAACACACTAAACAACAACAACAAAACAGATTTAAACAGCGTTCGTATCAAAACTATGCTACAAGCGCCCAGCTGTGACATTTTCAAAGGCCAACCTGCAAACGATGAACAGCTGTGAGATAAGATGCACCGTGAGGGTCGCCATTTTAACCATCAGTCCGTTGTTAGTTCCGGGGCCCCATTATGGGAGTGCGGGATCTACCCACTAACAAGCATGTCGTAGAAGCAGAATTATTATAGGATATTTCTTTTAAAGACAGAGTGCATCTGCACCCGAAGCTAGGAACCAACAGTCTGCCTACGTGTAAGGCAGATCTTGAAAAGGATGTGCATGCACAATTCAGGTAATGAAGCAAAGCTAGGTCCAGAAGGGGACGAACAACCAAAAATGTCCATCAGAGCTGTAGTCGGTAGTTAAGCCTACTCTTAATAAATGAATTATTGTGTCTTTCTCAATCACACTGGCTCTGTAACTTGCAATTTTAAGAGCAGAGGACAGATACTCTACCTACTTGTATTCATACAGACTTATTTTCGAGTGTATATGGCTCGCGACAGTACTCTCATCCCATAATGGTGGGTCAGACAAATAAAAGGCTTCAAACGGGTACAACTCTTCCCTGGGTGGCTCCATCAGATATTCTGGGTACAGCAGACCCCCGCACCTACGTAAGATTGAAGATAGTACATTTTCAAACATGTCTTTTTAAATCTTCAGTAAAAATTGTTATGTAAACACCAGGATCTGTAACGCCAACTGCGTTTTTGGCAGAATGCACACCAATGTCTGGCATTGAAGTGGTATTAGTCTGCAAACCAAGCTAAATATGTACAGTGCTGCAGTGCTTCACCTGCTACTGTATGCTTGTGAAACATGGACTATATACAGACGTTAGGCAAAGAAGCTTAACGTCCGCTTGTCAGACCATCGGTTTCCAGCAATAGCTTTTTGTAATAAGATACAGGAAGGTAGTTTGCTCTGCACATGACCGAACTGCTTAGCGAACGTCTGTCTAACGAGGTTTGAGGTTTGAACAACAGATCAACATCATGGAGCACGGGTAGTAACCCATAAGTGCTCCGTTCTTCTTCTAACTCAAGCCTGAGCCCGAAGAAGCTCAACACAGTGCACAGGCTCTGTAGCACCGGCGAGGATCCTTAAATACTTTGGGTAGATTTTGAACTCCAAATTTCGCCCAGGAAGCGCAGTTAGGCTACTCTTTTTGATATCCGAATGCCACAGGATTTTTTACGTGCGCAACAATGCACACGGGCGTCCGATCTCACTACCCAGAGACCAGGGGGAATTACTAGAAATCCAAGTCCATGTGAAAAAAATCACAGCCCCTACCGGTGATTAAACCCGGCACCTCTAGATCTCGGACACCATGCCTCGAGACCACGCAGCCCCCCGTCTATCTAAAGAGAGAACGAACTGCGAGGCTTCAAGAAAAAGACCAGATGAGCAGCGCAGGATGCTAGAAAGATTCTTATAACAGGCTTTTCCTGATTGTCCTGGATACTTCCAGGCCTGTATTGGGCTTATAGGTCACCTCTGGACTCAGAGCTCAACTACAGTTTCATAACAAATGAAAGAAAGAGTAATTCTCATCACCTATTTTAGACAAATACCACGAACAACAAGCACCGTTAATTAGAAATCTCTTAAGAAGAACACTCGGCTAACATGCAGAAACTGTTGGTCCCTGCAGGGATTCTATTATTATTTGTCCCCGGTTATAGCGAACGGTTTAAACTGCTGTCCTTTTGAGACAGAGTTAAAGTCTCGAGGATCGTCTTCATTGCACTGGGTTTTATTCCATATGACTCAGGCTCCCTCCGAAAAACGGTTAGCCGCCTGCCGATAGAGCAATACAGAGCGCGAACTCCGCAGCTTCGGCAACGATCTCCAGGGTAAAAAATTGCACTCGTGAATTGAAGGACGTTGCCGTGGAACGAACTCAGGACCTTTATAGCGAGAGGTAAACGGCTTGACCACCAATCGCCCTGAACCTCCCGACCCCCCCCCCCCACCCCCCCCCCCATTTAGAATATGTATAAACGAGGTTTTACTGTAAGTTTTTTTTTTTAAGGGCTTGATAAATCAATCAATTAGGTGCCGTCTCCAAAGGTTGGCTGTAATGGATCTCCAGCACATTCTCTCTCTCTTATCTTGTTTGTTTACACACTGGCAGACTGCTGTTCGTCCATCTCTTGGTGTTGTTCTGCCAATTGTAACGCCGTCTACCTTCTGTTCTTTTGCTCTCAGCTTTTCCCCTAGTTTGCTTTTTAAAAGTGAATTATGTATTTTATGTAGCCAAAGTATTGCAACTGTCAATTATTTTAATTCTGTATTTCTTTCAGCAATTCTCTTTTTATTCGTACTCTTTCCAGAATCTCCGTATAGGACTCTTTTTGTTTCAGTGAAATACGACATATTTTTCTGTATATCCGTATTTCCATAAATTTAGTTTTCTAGAGCCTCGATGAGGTCATTAAAAAGAATAATCCTATCTTGTTTATGTCCGGTTCACAGTTTGTTTTATCAGAAGTCCGGGAAAGGAGAGAGGGGCGAAAGATGAAAGAAGCATCAAGCCCAGAGACAGCGCAAATACCAGAACTTTAGCCACGAAAGTGGCGCAAAAAACAAGACCACAAGTATAGCCGGAGACTGTTGGCAGCTTCGGCTAGCTAGCTGCAGGGTGAACGTGGTTAAGTTTTTGATTTTTTTTTTCTCAAAAGGAATTGGAATTAGAACCTCCATATTTTTTCTCTTCACTTTAATCTTGTCATTTCCTTGGGAATGCAGTTTTTAGTTATTTTGAAGTCCCACCCTGGCTTTTGCCGAATGCCTTAAATATAGCCGGGCTTGAAATATGTTCTGACGGCTGAAGGAGGTTTCCCGGACCACTCCACGGGTGATCCTCCTCTGCATGGTGGCACTTTGTGTCACTGGGTGTTTATAGCTTGTGTGATGTCCTTGGGGGTTACGACTTACATACATACATGCATATACCTCCTTATACTAACCTCGGAAATTATAATAGTTATAATCAGTGTGAGGGGAACTAGTAAAACAATACTCACATAAATGCAGTTTCAATCCGCTTCCTGTCTACTTCGGCTGTGAACTTTGTTGTGTTGGAGGGTAGGCTTTTAAACATTGTGAAGGGATCTTCTTGTAAATCCTGGCATTCCTTCTCTTGTTGTCTCAGCTGCTGCTTGGTCAAAATTTGAAGAAGAGGGTGATAGTATTAACAGGAAATAAGGTAAAAACACTCTTACACTGACAGACAGAAAAAAGGGAAACATGTCAAGCTTCGTACACTGAGATAGGGGGATGGAGGCACATTTTAAATACAGTCTTTGTAAGCAGTCTGGGTGTTTTTTAACAACGGATCAACATCATGGCACACGGGTAGTAACTTATAAGTGCTCCATGCTTCGTCTGACTCAGGTCTGCGTTCAACACTGCTCAACATCTTTTTAGAAAGAATTATGACCGCTGCCCTTGAACAACATCATAGCACAGTTAGAATCGGAGGTCAGAATATAACAAACTTAAGGTTTGCAGATGATATTGATGGGCTGGCTGGAGAAGAACAAGAACTATTCGAGCTTGTAAATCTACTCGATTAAACATCAACGAAATATAGCATGGAAATAAACGCAGAAAAATTCAAAAGTAATGATAAATAATCCAGCAAGCAGAATTTCACCAATCTACGCTTAAGGCCACAAATTAGAACAAGTGACTCATTTTAAATATTTAGGATCCATTTTAAGTGACTTGGGGGTCAAGTCCAGAAATTGTGTCAAGGATTGCCCAGACAACACCAATCCTTGCCAAGCAGCAAACATTATTGAAATCTAAATACATTTCATGTAAAACTAAGATTCGATTGCTCAGAAAACTAGCTATAAGCACATTTATATATGGCTGTGAAACGTGGACCATAACAACTGAACTTGAAAGAAAGATACAAGCATTAAGAATGCGCCTTTTTTAGAAAAATTCTTAGCATATTATACAGAGACCACATTACAAACGAGGAAGTTCGCCATACAATTATACAGCACATTGGCAACTATGAACCTCTTTTAACTACAGCGAAAACGCGAAAATGCAATGATTTGGACATGTAATAAGATCTAACGACCTTTCGAAAACAATACTGCAGGGCTCAGTAGAGGGAAAGAGGAGAAGAGGCAGACCAAGAAAGACCTGGTTAAAGAACCTGACTGACCGGACCGGCCTCAGGCATGCAACCATGAAGTCCATCGCAACTGACCGCCAAAAGTGGATAGAGCTGATCAGTCAACAGAAACTGGTGACCCAACGTACGTAGTGTTGCGGGATGATGATGATAATGTATGACCAACCTAACATTTGTGAACTATATGGTTTCATTCAGCAGTTTCAAGTTCAGTAGTTTGCCATTGCCCACAGTAGTGTGGGCTCCCGATACCATTGTTGAAATTAACGAACAGCAGTCTGCTTACAAATCATCTGCAGCTGTATTCAAACTGGGTAACTTATAAAGCGCGTAGCCTGAAAGATGTACACGACAAACACACACAATATATATATATATATATATATATATATATATATATATATATATATATATATATATATATATATATATAAGGGAACACTTCAAACAAACCGCAAGGGCGGCTTAGCACACCAAATGGGTGATTTTGCAATGAAATAGGGTGCGAACAATCCCTCACAAAATTCTGGCGACTTCAGGGCAGTATGAACGGTGACAAACAGTTGTGTAATATGCCCGAATTAAAAATGGACAGTGGGGTGATCATAATATCTGACGAAGACAAAGGTTAGGCACTCCTGTGCAGATTTCTCCAGCAAACTAAAAAGACAGACACAAACGAGAGGAAGCAGATAAAATTATTCAACAGTCCACGACATGCACATTGCTAATATGGATGAAGAAGATGACACAGTGTACATCTCGGTTGCAAACATCAGAGCTATAATGAAGACCGGTTGCGACACAGCCCCAGGGCTTGATGGCATCAGATACAGTGACTTTAAATGCCCGAAGGAAACAGACACAACGAAACTTTCTAAGACATTTAACGAGAGCATTACAAGCGGCATTGTACCGGATGACTGGCTTCACCGTTACCTCAGACCCGTTCCTCAGCCTGTGATTGATCATGAACAAGTACACGGCTATAGATTCATCACACTTCAGAACACTCATGGAGAAAATCCTGGCCAGAAAGTTGACCCAAAAATTAGTCAAGTGATCTTTTGGCACCTACACTAGTTGGGTACCGCCAGGAAAGAGATACCTGGTACAATACTGCTGTTTTTGCCTACGACACGTATGAGGGCTTCCAAGCAGGAATGGAAACTGCCGCAGCCGCCATTGACTTAGAAGAAGCGTACAAGAGCGTTCCATACAACATGATCTTTAAATTAATCTGCAAAAAGGGACGAAATGGGTCAACTGGATCGCAGCAGCGGTCTTCGAAAGAAGTGTCAAAGAGATGAGGTACGTGAGCAAAAAACCGCAACGCGTCTTTACGGGCTTGCCTTAGGGATCACCATTGTCTTCCGTTCTCTTTAATGTGTACACATCATTTGTCACCAGTGTACAGATAGTAGATTTGGGCAGAACTATGTCGTTCG